CCGTTTCTTCTTTGCATGACTTTCACAAACCAATAAAATTTCAAAGATTTTTTTTTGCTGACCACTGAATGGCATATACGTGAAATTTCGTTTGCAGTATCTTTTCTTTCTATTTTTTTTTTTTTCATAATTTTTTCAGCGATGCAAAATTTGATGGAGTGGTGGGTCGGTGAATCATACTGCCACTTTGCTGACTGCAGTTGTGCGTCACGTGTCAGTGGGTGGTAGCCACAGCTAGAAACTCGGCCATTGTGGCAGTCCTGGGAGAGCAGAGATATCTGACATTTAGTAGGGGATAACCGGTTGACGGATAGTTCTTAAATGTTATGCTTTTTTTTTAAAATCTTCCTCGATTTCAGGAATTTGCTTTGCGGAAGTGCAGGTGCCACTTGCGAGCGCGAGGCATTGACTTTGGTAGGCGAAGAGGTGCATTTGAAGGAAATTTGGTTGAAGTTTAGACTATTTGCTTAATCCGCACAACATTGGCACAGAATGCAGTTACGTTCCTTAGCAATTAGTGGTTTTCAACTCATTTTTTAGCTCATACGCGTAGTTGTGTTCTCATTTCTTGATTGATAATTCCACATAATTTAGTGTTCCAAATTTACAGATTGCGTGGTATGTGCGATGACAAATTCGCCAGGCTGTCGCTGAACGATGAAGCAAAGCCTAACGGTGCTGTAGCGTCATCTGCTAGCGGCCAAGACGTCCATAGCGTCGATGCCACGGAAAAGCAGCAAGCAAATACCACATGCGCCTGCAGCCCACCAAACACAAGCAGCGCCAACACAAGGAAGGTGCGCGAGAGGATTGCCCGAGGGCATCGCATTTTCAAAAACATGCAGCTGGCGCTCAATGAATGTGCACAGGTTGAACGGAAGTCCGTCTCGGAGCGAAGAGTGAGGGCACCACGAGTAGCACCAGCGGACCGGCTACGTTCCGATTCCGTGCCAAAACCTGCTTCTTACGTGATCACCAGTGTGGACGAGCTCGTTGAATTGCTCTTCATGAAAGGCATTGATCAGAGTCCGCCGATGACTACACACGTGCTAAGTTAGTAATTTTCGCTTTTTGTAATTGATTGAGCCAGCTCCTTTTTTAAAGTATATTGGCTGGAAACTTATAGTAGATGAGATACTTCGATATTCCGGGGGGATCACAACGTCCACATCAACATAGTGTTACATACATACCAATAACATGCTTCATACATACATACCAGGAACACTGAAACGAGTAAAGTTTTGGCAGGTGCGTAAAACCGTTGGGCTAGTAATCCGTTTAGGAAAAAAATATCAAAATCTCCAGCAGATTGACCACTAGGCAAAGCAGCATTGGTCAGAACACTGGAAATATTGCCAGGTGAAAGTGTTAGACCATAAATTAGCAATTGTTCCAAATATTCCATGTGTTTCAATTGCTTAGCGCGAAAAGAAATGACGGAAAAGAGGATCCCTCTCCGTTTTCTTGCGTCCTGAAATTCGAGCATCAAGTCAAGAGCTGAATTCCAGCATTATTTTTGTTCATTTTGGAGCCTGTTTCTGGGCTAGATTTTTTCATCCACTTAGTTCTGGCATTTTATTCGCAAATGAGGCTGGATGGGTCGTGATTCGGAGTTCGAATTTTTATGGTTTTAAGAAAGTTTTTGTTTGCTCTGGTAGTTTTAATAGCTTGTGATTTCATCATAATGCATGTTCGCGCCATCGGACAGTTTCCCGTATACTATGTCCTGCACTTGTCGTGATCATGTAACTCCTCTCTAGACGTACCAATGATCTTACTAGCGTTCTCATCACTCAAGGCATATCATTCGAGTACCATAGAGCTGTGTGTCCGGTCACTAGAAGGCCTGTATTTATCGTCGCTGATTGTGGTGGTGGAGATGCTCAATCTCACAGTATTTTTGCTGGTGGGAAAATTCGGGCAAAGTTTTTCAGAACACATATTGAGCAATGATAATGTAGCGCTCACTGACGAGGATTGGAGCCAGTTTGCTTGCCATGTCGTCGATGCTGCAATGAAAGGGAACAGAGAGTTAGCTGTCGATATTGCGGTCATCGCTATTGGTAAATTTTCCTTCAATTTATCTTCATGATATAGGTATAGATGCGAAAGTGATTGAGGATTAAACAGATCCTGTAGGTATGATGTGCGTGTTTATGTTTATCCATGTATGTTTACATATGCTTGTACCTGGGAATGTGCAGCTCGAACAGAGAACATAAGTTTTTTAGCATTTAAATGTTACTCTTATCGCTAAAATAGTGATTTTAAATTGAATAAAAAAAAAGAGGTTTGTAAGGGGATATTTTGAATCATTTTCTGCGACTGTTTTAAATCTCTGGTTTTTAGGTCACGAAAGCTTTCAATCAACGTTCGCGGAAAGAATCAAGGAGATGATGTCGAATTATGTGCTATCAGAAAGGAAAGCAGAGGAAGGGATCGTTGAACTGATTGCTCTCTTGCTCATCACCAAATGGCCTCGGGAACATGCTCGATGTGGTTTAGAATCCAACGCAATTCTGTTTTCGATTATTTCGTCAATCAAAGGATGGCTGATGGCGGTCATTGGCGAGGTAGACCAGTTACCATTGTATTACTTTCAAGATTTTTTGCTCTTATTTTTTGTCTGAGATTGTCGTTTTTTCCTTCCCCTTGTCCCGTGCCATAACAGTTGTGTACGGCTACGAAGCATCGCCCCTAAGAGAAGCAGTACTGGTTGTTTGTGTTTGAAATTACCTCTCGTTAATAGTATGGTTTTCCAGCTATGTAACTTTTTCATTTGCCTGAACCAGTGCCGTATTTCCTAATGATTAGCTAGCTGTTGCCTCTGGTATTCCTGAAGAGATTACCCACTCCGTGGTTCCCTCAGCAGAGGAGCATTTGGCTAGGCTTTAGACGTTGCGAAATGCCTTTTGTATATGTTGAGCATTATCATTTCCTTTCGAACGTTGCCTTCCCAAGATTAGCGTAGGATAAATCATAAAAATATATGATCAGAAAAATATATGTAATATTTGTTGAATCTGGGTTGTCCACAGAAAGGCGCTTTCTGTGCGGTGAGGATTAAGTGTGATGTTTGCGCTTAACTGTGGATAAGATGTCCTGTGGATGCAAAGCTGAGTGAAACATCTCCCTCACTTTGCTAATAACCAGTGAAGGTTGCGGGTCGATGAGCAGGAACCGTGGGTATGAAGACTATTGGAATGGCTTCCAAGGTGTGCTATGTATATCTAGGAGAAGCGACCAGTAAAAACTGGTAGCCATCTGAGGGCAGGAATAGCTGCAGTTGGCATTTTGGGGCAGGAGGAGGGGGGGGGGACGAAAGGCGGGGAGAGGCCTTACCGGTAGTTCTGGCATTTCCGGTATGTTTCGATGGTTGTCTCTTAGAGTTTTATATATTTTTCCTCAGCGCACTGAAGGAGATCTGAACTTAGTGCTCGGCACAACTGAAATTCCTATATTGGACAGTAAAAATGCACATAATTATTATTTGCAGACAGATGAGGTGGAAGAGGTAGAGTCAAGCTGTGCATGTGCGCTCTACGAAGTGTGCCGTTACGCACAGCGTAAGATGTGGATGAATTGGCCGGAACTTGTAGACGAATGCTATGACGCTGCCGGAGACGCGCTGACTTCAAACATTACCCTAAGCAAGTAAGCCTCAGATGCCTTGAAGTATTTGAAGCATGCCCGAGGAGGCAGCGAGGGTAAATTGTGAATTTTTCCTTTCGGAGCTAATAAGTGCTGAAGAAAAAAAAAATGTTGCAGGGAGGCACGAAAAGCATTGCTTGACGCTCTGATAATGATCCAAGGATGGACAAGTCGTAATGCCAAGACGCTGGTAAATGTCAGTACGCAGACGTATAAAACTCGAATCTAATTCGGGTAGTATGGTCGGCTGGGAAATGCTCAAAAAGGAAACGACGATTTCTTGACGGGCAACTCATTTTGTTTTAAAAAAGGGTATTTTTCTAAGATTTTATTGAATGTTTACCTCCATTTTTGCACATTTAATGGGCTATAAGCAATTAGTATGTTTGTGTCATCATTTTTGCGCATGGTATAACCTTCATAATTTCTTTTTCCTTGTGTCAGTATCGCTAGCCATGTGGCCAGTTTCCCAGAAATATTTTCGTGCTTGTTGTTGTTTGTTGTGTAATTGAATCTAAAATTAAGATAATGAAAGAGAAAAAAAATGCTACAGGTAACGAAATTTAAAACTTAGAAAAGTTAGTAAAACTGGACAGGAGATTTTTGATAATAATGTTATATTCATTTCGTGCCAGTGCCACAACTGGACCTCGTCAGTACGACTGGGACAGGAAGTAGATTTTTTTAGAAAATAAAATTGAGATTTTTTGTTTAATATAAATTCTGAGTTAAAAATAATTAAAATAAAGAAAGGTCAAAGCAGTAAGTATTCTCGTATCAGGAGCATTTCCTGTAGCCTCCAGTAAAAGGAATGTAAAGGACGAAGTGTTCACTCAACAATAGAAGAATAATGTATTTGCTGTTGTTCTAAGCATCCAGATTTTTGACGATGTGGCTGCCGAGCAGCTTTTTTTTGTTTGTTCTGGTTGGATTGCTCCTTTATCACCTTTTTTTTCCATAGAATTATGGCCTAGGTAGTCTATGATACATCTTCCGCATCTGTGCTCCTCTACGTTTTTCCTTCGTTCCTGTTTTTGGTACCATCATTTGTTGTTGTTGCTGAGGTGCGAGGATCGGAAAGGACAGCACTGATTCAGTGCGGCATCCTTCCGTGAACAGTTAGCTCATGGTTTTTAGCAGTTATGCTAATTCCCTCAGTTTTGCACCCCTGCATAAGTGATGCTCAATTTGATGTGCAAATTTTGCTCCTCCTCGCATGTCAGCGACCATTTTGGTGTCCAAAACTGACGTTTTTTCCGAATTCTTAGCATTTGATGTATTAATCGAATCTGTCTCCTCCCAAATGCCTAGCATGATTTGTCCCTCTTACATGCTTAGCATGTAATCTGATATCTAATAGTAGAACGGGAGGACTGGTCCTAAGTGCCATGTGCCGAAAGCTGCACGAAATTCCCTTCCTTCCCCTTCTCTCTTCTGTTTCTCTTATTGCTTTGTATCTGGTTTA